TCAAGACCCCGCCTGGACAAGGTCCTGTGCAGCCTGCTCTGGGTGACCCTGCTTCGGCAGGGGAATTGGACTAGATGACCCACCGAGGTCCCTTCCAACCCCTGACGTTCTGTGATTCTGTCTGGGTCTGACTTTGCCAGTCCCAGTTAAACATGTGCTGTGGCAGGACAGGGACCTAGAGAAGGAACACAGACAACAGCACTTTGCTTGGTAGCTTTTATAATTTACAATGTCAGGCCCAGATCCCACCACTGAACCTGCTTGGGCAGCGCTTTGAGGATTTCTGCACTCTCCCTTACGGAGCTGCAAAGTGTATTAGGCTGATATTAATCCGCCAGCCGCAGCTAACACGGCCCTGACCTAGCTGCGAGTGCCTTTAGCAGCGTGAACGGCGCTGACAAAAAAAGTCAAAAATGAAAAAAAAACAAACCCAAAACCCAACCTTGCCAACGCACACTGTAACCGATTTCCAACTGCGGGGAAAGGCACGCGCTGAGCGCTCCCCGGGATGTTCTCCACCCTCGCACAGAGCAAACCGAGCCAAGCAATTTCTAGGTCTCAAATCCCGTCTGCCCTTGACGTTCTCATCTTCCAGCTTCCCCCGGTCGCTTTGGAAGGCCAGCACGTGCTTCTCGGCGGCAGCCTCTGCGCAAGGTTGGGGGCGGGGCAGGGCCGGGGAGAGGGAGGTTCTGCCTGTCAGGGCTGATGCCAGACGGACCCGGAGCTGGCACCGGCGATACCCCTTCTGGAAAGAGCCCCCTTCCCGGGCTTCCCCCCACGGGGAAGGGGGCTGGTGGGGACGAAGCAGCGCCATGGCTTCCTGCGAGGGGTGGCAAGGTGGGCATTGGGCACCGAGGGGGCTGAGAAAGGGGTGGAGAGGGAGGTGCAAGCAACCGTGGGGGGAGGTTTGCACAACACTTTGCTGGCCGCTGCGGTCCAAGGCCCCGCTTCCCCCAGATGCGTCACAGGTGGGTATTGCACGGGGAGGGAGATATTTTTTTTCACCGCGTGTGCCTCCGCACGTTTTTATTCATTAATCGGCTTTCCTAAACTGCCTTCCTGTGCAGCTCAGGTAACCTGCTCTGCCTCCGAAAGCCCTCTGGTCACCTTGGCTACCCTTGACCCTGGCAGCATCTTCAAAGAGAGCATGGGCCTGCTGCGGAGCGTGCAATGTTTGCTCGCTTATCGGGCGAGCAGCCACCGCCTCCCTGCCCGGGGGGGTTTCGTCAGCCTCCCGCAGCGCTCCAGGGGAGACTGGTCGGCCACCGCTGCTTACACAAGGTCAGTCCCGCCAGCGCGGGCATTTTCCCTGGTCCTCAGTCGGTGACTGCTTCTCCAGTCCTATCAGGGCAACCTGGTCCTCAGCTGCTGGCTGCTTCTCTGGTCTTCTCAGGGCAACTCATTAATTAAGCACTTGCTTGTCTGGCTAAGGCGTTAGGTTTGTTTTTCCAGCCCTTCCTAATCACGGGTAAAAGGGGCTGCATCTCCAGTTTCTCCAGCCCTGTGAGCCACTCCAGAGCCCAGGTCCCATGGTGGTGGACACGCTGTGGTGGGTCCAAGCAGAGGCAGCTGTGCCCATCGCTGAGCAGAGATGGAGGTGATGCACCATCAGGACATCCAGCCCGCGTCTGGTCTCACTCGGGTGTGTTTCATATCCTTACACGGGACCTCATAGCTCAAAGCATTTTGCTAGACAGGTCTTAAAATTGTTATACCTGAACTGGGGAACGCCTTGGCTGTTGGGCACGGGGAGAGGAGAGATGCTCATCCCTCCTCCTGCCCAGCTGTGCCACTGCTGGAGGCTGGGTCACTTGGGGCCAGGCCTCCTCCTAGGACCTCACCGGTCACCACAAAAAGGACCATTCCCCATCCCTGCATGAAGTTTGTTTAAAACAGAAATCATCCATTCCTATTTAAGAATTTGGTGGGGTTTTTTTAAGTACTGGTGAAAGGCAAATGGGGACCTGGGCTTAGCAGACCAGCTCTGCATCCCGTTGAGGCTGAGAGCCCTGGGGGTGGCCCGCTCTTCAGCCGCAGGGTCTGCAGGGAGGGGCCACCTTTCAAGATGGCCCCAGGGTGCTGGCGAGGAACCCCACCACTGCAGGAGCAAAGCCAGCGGCCAACTTACCCGGGGCC